TCTTCATATGTTGTTGAGGGGCCAAAGAAAGACTTCAGACTAAAAAAAATCCAATATTCTTCCTATTTTTCTTGGATCAGGCTTTAAAGAGGTTAAATATTTTAAAATTCCTTTCCTCCTTCCAGGTCTAAGAGAAGTCCTCCTCATATTTTGTTTCTAATTCTGGAGGATTGTTTAATACAGATGCAGAATGGAGGACAAACTTTACGTCTCATTTTAGACTCAGGCTGGTATAAAATGCTCTATGATTTTGTTTTACTTTGGAGCAGCTTTATACGTTACTCTCACTTCATGAAATCCAAAATTCTTCCTATTTTTCTTGCACGAAAATATATTTTTGACTTATTGCACGCTAATTTGATCAAAATAATTTCTGTTTTTTTTTTCTTCATATGTTGTTGAGGGGCCAAAGAAAGACTTCAGACTAAAATAATTCAATATTCTTCCTATTTTTACTTGGATCGTGCTTTAACCATGTAATGCCAAATGTATCATATTTGATATATACAGTTTCTGAAATGTTTTGCGTCTGACACCTTTTGCATAATTTAATGGTAAAAACTTTGCTCAAAATCCTATTGTACACAATCAGATACACCTGATAACAGGGGGCAGAAGACTACACAAAAAATAATCTTGACTTATCGCATAGTAATAAATTATTCATATCAAAAATGTATTTCTGTGTTTTCATTTTACATATTTTGTTAAAAGGCCAAATAAGGAATTCAAACCAAAAAAAGTACATTTCTGTTTTGTTTTATTCTTGGATCAGACTTTAAAGGGTTAAGCTCTTCTCGTTTAAAAAAACCCCAGCAAAGTCTGGCGATATTTCACTTTTTTAACAGAAAACTGAGTAAGTTATCTCATTTTCTGTAATAAAAAATCATGTTTTTAATGGATTTCCTCATCTAAGAGACCTAGAAGAGTAAATATTCAGGTAAAAGGCAATATAAGGAATTCAAACAAAAAAAAGTACATTTCTGTTTTGTTTTATTCTTGGATCAGGCTTTAAAGGGATAAACAGAGAGGACGGACTCACGTTGCTCTGGTTCTTGGCCACGTCGATGGCGTGCTGAACGTCCGGTGGAACGGTCATGTTGTTGTACACAGACTTGCCCTTCTCCTTCTCAAACTTTGCTTTGTACTGTTTCTGCGCGGCCAGAATAAAGACAGCGTTAAAACCCATTTGGGAGGTAAAAAAAAGTGGCGTTTCCCAGCAGGGACGTCCGGCGTTTGTTATATTTTAATCACCCAAATCTCTACTGTGTTGTGTTGCTTCCTTGTATATTTGTTTGCTTTTGCTGTACTTTATGCACCTTTTCCTCCTTTTGAACTCTAGCCGATGTGTGACCAGTGAGTTTCTCCACTGTGAGATCAATAAAGCTCTTATCTTATCTTATCTTATCTTATCTTATCTTATCTTATCTTATCTTACCTCGCTGATCAGCTTCTTGACCTGCTTGCTGTGGGCGGTGTCCCTCGTCTCGGCGAGGGTGGTGAACGAGCCCGACTGCATGTTCTTCTTACTGGCCTCCTTGTATTTGCTCTGAGGGGGAAACGGAGATGGGAGGTGAACCGCCGTTTTTTTATTTTCTTAATTTCTTTATTGACCAACAGCAATACACAGACTCAGAAAGGACCCCAAAGATCACTTTTTGAAAATTTTGCATACAATTTTCATAAAAAAACACCCACCCAAATCTCCACAACCCCATGTTTAAGCTCAGTGCATGAATGAAAGTAAATGTAATTTACTTTCATTCATGCAGACAAGGGGACAGGAAGAGAAAGGGAAAGGTACAAAGTAATACAAAGACTCAGAAAGGACCCCAAAGATAAAAAACGCTCACTTTTTTCAAATTTTGTATGCAATTTTCAGAAAAAACACCCACCCTAATCCCCACAACCCCATCTTTAAGCATAGTGCATGAATGAAAGCTAATTTAATTTGGTTTAATCCGTGCAGACAAGGGGACAGGAAGAGAAATGGAAAGGTAAAAATAAATACAGAGACTCAGAAAGGACCCCAAACATAAAAAACGCTCCCTTTTTCCTTTTTTTTTTACGATTTTCAGAAAAAACACCAACCCACTACCCGCAAATTCCCACATCCTCATGTTTAACCCTATAATGCCAAATGTATCATATCTGATTCATACGGTTTCTGAAGTCTTTTGGATCTGAGACTTTTTGCATCATTCAGTGGTAAAAGCTTTGCTCAAACCCCTGTTGTACACATTCAGATATACCTGATAACAGCCAGTAGAAGACTACAGGAAAATAGATTTTTGACTTATTGCACGCTAATTTGATCAAAATAATTTCAGTTTTTTTCTTCATATGTTGTTGAGGGGCCAAAGAAAGACTTCAGACCAAAAAAATCCAATAATCTTCCTATTTTTCTTGGATCGGGCTTCAAAGGGTTAAGCACAGTGCATGAATGAAAGTAAATTAGAATTACAGACAAAGGGACAGGAAGAAAAAGGGAACAAAAATTAAAAAACAAAAATACTAATAACCTAAAGAAAAAATTCTTAGGGAAAAAATGTATCTAAAGGGGACAAAAATAAATAAATAAACAACTCAGACTTGTGCCTTCACTGGTTCAATGTCTGGAGTGTCTGTGATGGACAGCAGGGTTAGGGTCCCAGTTCCTATTAAATTCACTCAATGAACCATTTAGGGAAAATCTGAACCCCGGAAGCTCCCGGCCGGCGGGTTTTTTACCTCTGACGCCAGCACGCGCACGGCCTTGGCGTGAAGGATCTGAGGAGTGTCCATGACGGGAACGTAGTGGCCCTTCGCCTTCTCGTACTTCTCTTTGTACTTGACCTGGAGAGGGGGAGAAGACCACAGGCATCGGGGTGAACGCTTTGTTTTTGGCCTATTTCCCCCACTGGTTACCTCTGGCTGCCCGTATCAAATTCAAGTTCCTGATGCTAGCCTACAAAGTGCTTAAGGGTATGACTCCCATCTACTTCTTTATTCACATGACAATGTCAAGTACAAACAATGAAAAGTAAGGATTTAAAAAAATTGTTTTTTACAAAAACAACAACCACTCATTCCCTCCCTCCCCAATCCTACAAGATTATGTTACTTATCAGTAATAACCCACGTCCTTCCTTCTTACCGTACACAAACATGTGAATAAAAAAGTATATAGATTTATGTCTGATTGTTTTTTTAAAATCTTTTTTTCCCTTGATTTATCATATGGAGTATAGGTTTTGACCCTGATGCGTATTTGAAATTCATATACCGGACATTTTGCTGGACATTTCAGATTTTGTATTAGACCTGGCTGTGCTGAATTGTTGTTGTTTGTCTTGTTTCTAAAAGACAATAAAGTATTGTTTAAAAAAAATTAAAAAAAATATATAGACAATTAAAAAAAGAGAGAGTAGTAAGAATAACATGAATAAATCAATAGAAAACACCACAAAATAAAAGTGAGAAGTAACATTTTCAATGGGTTGAGATTAAGTAAGGAAGAAAAGAAAATGTAATCAAAAGTCAGTTGTCAAAAAAGTGGACATTACATTTGTCATTTAGTGTCTTTAATCTAGCTTTTTTTTGTTAAAATAAACCCCTTTGAACCTCACTCTTTGCAACTGAGTCCTACCTAAGATCCCCCTTCTGACAGTCTACTCCGTAAGTCGCTTTGGATAAAAGCGTCTG